TAGGTAAGCTTTTTTTGCAATTTCAATGCTGGAAACACTTTTTTTGCAGCGGCGAAGCGTAAAACTTATTTTTATGGAATGAAAAAATGCACAAAAAGGTGTAGAATTCAGTCTGAGGAGCGCAGTACGTAGCCGAAGAGACATTCAAGGTATTGAGAGTTAGTTAAGTTACCGAAAAATATCTTACTTAGAAAGATATTTGGGGAATCCATAGATTCAATTCTGTATTTTGAAAGAACTTACAAGAAATGTGAATTAAATTTACACATCGTTTGATGTGGTGTTATGCGTTTTGTGCTGTGTAACAGCAGTACAGAACGTATATTGTCACGGGGTTATCTGTGTATGTTTGTGTCCGCAGCTTTCAACTTGGGGACTACGAAAGCTAGGAAGTTGAAAATCTAGGGAAACGTTTCTCACCCACATGCGACCCTGCAAATTTAAATTCAGCTTCCCTTACCCTCGGGTAACACATACGGCCCCATAAAAGTTTGGGCAGGTAAAATTATTATCACGGGAACCACGGAAGCTAGAAGGCTGAAAGTTTGTGGGCATGTCCCCCGCCTTTGTGCTACCCGGAAAATTTAAATTCAGCTTTACCCTGTCCGCGGGTAACATGTACGGCCCCGTGAAAATTTTTAACAGGTAAATTATCTCGGGAACCACGGAGTCTAGGAAGCTGGAATTTTAGCGTTGTAATTCCCTGCCCATGAACGATCTTGCAAATTCATATTCAGCGCTCTCGAGTATCACTTACGGCCTCGTGAAAATTTTGGTGGGTAAACTATTGTCTCGGGAATCATGGAAGCATGTTTACCCTTCAAGCTTTCAAATTCAGCTTTCATGCATTGGTGCGTGAGATTTTTAACTGTTTTTCAATGTTTCAACTATTTTTGGGCGGGCTAAAGTACAAAGCAGTGTAAATCATTAATAGGCAAACCGTTCGGTGGGCAGAATTGCACAAAACGCATGATCGCATCGGGTTGTATGGTGCGCGTTGCTATTTATTTCAGTACAGCGCCTCTTCATGCCATCAGTATAGAAGCAGTAGTTCTGTATTGCGATGTGTACCAGTACCACGATCTTCTGTCGTTGCCTTTCTGAACCAATTTGCTAGAAATGTAACATTCCTCCGTTGCTTGTGTAGCCTTGCAACTTATTTGAGTGCAACAGCGATATCTATTACTCTCGCTAACGATGTGCCGAAACTTATGGGGAGTTGTTTTTACCGAGTTTTGCGCAAAAATAGTGTCAAATGACATCGGGAAAGCCAATCAAATGTTAAAACTGTGGAAAAAAACTAACATTAGTTTTTTCAGTTCATTGGTATTCGATGTTCGGCGAGCTGATTTTGCGCAGATGACGTTGCATCATGTGATCACGATAACACTCCTTTTTCTGAGTTTTGCAATGAATATGATTCGAGTTGGGACACTGATTCTTTTCAGCCACGATATCGCTGATGTATTCTTGTACGTTTTCCCTTCCTTTTAACTTTTTTGTTAAAGCACAGTTGCGGTATTTGGTGGCATGGCTATACGTAGTCTCATGGGATGACTTTGCCCTTGTAGATTTTTGAAAACGTCG